GATGCCCGAGGGCTTCTTTTGCTGCTCTCTTTGTATTTGTTCGAGTTGTAGGGTTGATGTTTTGATTTTGGCCCTTTCTTCTTTTTGGATGTGTGCATTTATTGCTATAAATTGACCTCTGAGCACTGCTTTTGCCGTGTCCCAAAGGTTCTGGTAGGATGTATTTTCATTCTTATTTGATTCTGTGAATTTCTTTATTCTGTCCTTAATTTCTTCTGTAACCCAGTAGTTTTTGAGCAAGGTGTTGTTCAGTTTCCATGTGTTTAATTTTTTTCCCTTGGTTTTTCTGTTACTGATTTCTACTTCTATGGCTTTATGGTCGGAAAAGATGCTTTGTAATATTTCGATTCTTTGGATTCTGTTAAGGCTTGCTTTATGGCCTAGTATGTGGTCTATTCTGGAGAATGTTCCATGTGTGTTGGAAAAGAAAGTACACTTGGCTGCTGTTGGGTGAAGTGTTCTGTATATGTCTATGAGATCAAGTTGATTAATTGTGGCATTTATATCTTCCTTGTCTTTATTGAGCTTCTTTCTGGATGTTCTGTCCTTCACTGAGAGTGGTGTGTTGACGTCTTCTACTATTACTGTGGAGCTGTCTATCTCTCTTTTCAATGCCGTTAGAGTTTGTTTTGTGTATTTTGGAGCCCTGTCGTTGGGTGCGTAAATATTTATTATGATTATGTCTTCCTGGTGTATTGACCCTTTAATCATTATACAGTGTCCTTCCTTATTCTTTGTGGTGGATTTTACTTTAAAGTCTGTTTTGTCAGAGATTAATATTGCCACTCCTCTTTTTTGAGTGTTGTTTGTTTGATATATACTATCCTTTGAGTTGTAGTTTGTGTCTTTAAGTCTAAGGTGTGTCTCTCGTAGGCAGCATGTAGACGGATCGTGTTTTTTAATCCATTCTGCCACTCTCTGTCTCTTTATTGGTGCATTTAGCCCTTTTACATTCAGCATAATTATTGATAGGTATGAGTTTAGTGCTGTCATTTTGATGTCTTTTTTTTGTGTTGTTGACAGTTTCTTTGTTCCACTTAATTTTCTGTGCTGAGTCGTTTTTCTTTATTTTCTTTTCATCTTTTTCATTATTGTTGATTTTGTATGTGCTGAGTCTTTTATGTTTTTCTTGTGTTTTATATTGATGTGTAGGATTGTTAGTTTCCTTTGTGGTTACCCCTATTTTTCTAAGTTTAAACCAGTCCTTTATTTCTTTATATCGCCTTTGACTTCCAATCCATATGAAAGATCTATGACTACATTTTTTAGTTCCTCTTTTTTGTTTTAATAGTGTCATCTTTTACTTATTGACATCTCTGTTTCTCTGTTTTCAGCATTTTAGCTTTGATTTATTTTTGTGACTTCTCTCTCTGGGTTAATATCTGGTTGCTCTGTCCTGTATTCTAGTCTTGGGCGGTTATCTGATATTACTGATTTTCTAACCAGAGGACTAGTTTTGGTTTGGTTTTTGCAAATTCCCTAAACTTTGGATCTGGAAATGCTCTAATTCCACCATCATCTTTGAGAGACAGTTTTGCTGGATATATAATTCTTGGCTGCCAATTTTTTTCCTTCAAGGCTTTATTTATGTCATCTCATTGCCTTCTTGCCTGCATGGTTTCTGTTGAGTAGTCCAAGCTTAGTCTTATGGACTCTCCTTTGTAGGTGACTTTTCGTTTATCCCGACCGCTCTTAAAATTCTCTCTTTATCTTTGGTTTTGGCAAGTTTGATTATGTCTTGGTGACTTTCTTTTGGGATCTGCCTTATGTGGGGTTCGATGAGCATCTTGGGTAGATACCTTTCACGATATCAGGGAAGTTTTCTGCCAACAGATCTTCAGCAATTCTCTCTGTATTTTCTGTTATTTCCCCCTGTTCTTGTATTCCAGTTATTCATAGGTTATTCCTCTTGATAGAGTCCCACATGCTTCTTTGGGTTTCTTCATTTTTTTAATCCTTTTATCTGATTTTTCCTCAAATAAGTTGGTGTCAAGTGCCTTATCTTCAGCCTCACTAATTCTGACTTCTGTTGCCTCAATTCTGCTCCTATGACTTTCTATTGAGTGGTCTAATTCTGAAATTTTATTGGTAATCTTCTGAATTTCTGTTTGCTGTCTTTCTGTGGATTTTTGCAGCCTGTTAAATTTGTCATTTTGCTCTTCTGTAATCTTAAATTCCTGTTTTGCTTTGTGTGTTCCTTGGCTTGTTCTGTTTTGCCTGATCTCCTTCTTGATCTTTTGAAAGAGTTCTGTATACTAGTCTTTTGTATTCTACCTCCAGTAATTACAAGAAGTTCTCTTTCTCTGGAAGATTTCTTGATTCTTTGTTTTCGGAGCTTGCTGAAGCCATTATGGTCTTTTTATGTGATTTGATAATGACTGTTGTTGCTGAGCCATCAATACGTTATTATATTTATTTTATGTTCGTTTACTGTTGTTTAGCTTCTTGTTTGTTTTGTTTTGATATGCCCAAATAGGCTGCTTGTGTGAGCTAGTGTGATTATTGACGCCTTTGAGGCCGTAACGTCCTGTCACCAGGTGGTTAAATCTGTATGGATTCAGCTCAGGTGTCCAAGTAGTTGGTCACCAAGTGTGTGGTGCAGGGTCTTACCTACAGTCCTAGACAGGCAGAGGTGATTGGAGTAGGCACAGGTGTCTGCCTGCAGTAAGGGCTCATGCGCTGAGCAAGGCAGGGGTCTGACGGTTGCCCCTGAGTGTCTGGGAGGAAAGCGTGTCCCTTTTCCCTAGGGTGCGTAGGTGAGTGGGTTTTGCAGCTGGTCTGTGGGCACCCAGTGCTGTCGGCTGTAAGGACTGGGAGGCACCAATTATTCTTGGACCCTTGTCACAGGTGGCTAGGTGGCATGGGTGGAGCCACCAGTTCTCAGGCCCCTGATGTGAGTAGGTGAGGTCCCTGCTTAATGGGGAGAACTGTGTCAAATGTCACAAACCTGCCACTCCACCGTATAGCTGATACAGTTGACATTAGACTTCAGTTATATACCCTGCTGAATGAGGGCCCATGCTGTTGAAATGGGCCTCCACAGGTCTCTGCAGGGGTGAAAGTCATTCAAAGTCCATGAACCCCATATGCCTGTGCCTGGGGAGCTGTGCCTACCCTCAGTTCTTGGCTTAGGGGAGCTGGCAGATTGTATTTTTCCTGTTTGTTCATTTGTTCCCTCTCCAAGGCCAAGAGAATGGCTCAGGGCGCGTGACAGGTCCTACTTCTAGCCCAGGGGATGCAGCAATCGCTGAAGCTGGCCCAGAACCGGTGCAGAGCGGGGAGAGAGCAAATAAATGGGAGAGAGTTTCTTCCCAAACGGGGTGTTTTTTGATCCGTGCAGTAGGTTAGATGCATGTACTTATCTTTTGCCAATTGAGCGCTGCTTTTCACTGGTTGTGAAGGCTTGAGTAGACTCTCCGCCGCTTGGTCTCACCTGGTGTGGAAAATGCATCCCAAATGCCACTGCCCGCCTCGCCGCACGCACCAGCCGATCTGGCCTGCAGGGCACTGGCTTCCCACCGGGTCAGGTCTGGCAACTCCTCGCTGCTGCTGAACTGTCTCTTCTTCCCCCTGCCACTCAGTCTGATTCCTCAACTTCGTCTTTGATGTTCAGGGCTCCTAGATTGTCGTATATGATTGATTCACTTGTTGTTTTGGGTCTTTGTTGTAAGTGGGACCACCAGAAGCATCTGACTACTCCGCTATCTTGGCCCTGCCTCCCTTTGTCGTATTCTAAATCTGCAGTCTATCAGAGTTTTTGGTCAGGATTCTACTAATGAAATTTTAGTTCAAGGACAGCTCTCCTTAAGTAGTATACACTCAGCAAGTAAGCATAGTATTTATGGAGTTGTCTTGGGTGAAGGTTTGATGGCCAAGGTTAAAGGGTCCAGTCTGGGATGAAACAGTTTTCTGACACTTATTTTGGATGCAGTTTCCCCCGCTTGGGAACCCTGGTGGTGCAGCGGTTAAGAGCTCAGGCTGCTAACCAAAAGGTCAGCAGTTGGAATCTACCAGCTGCTTTTTGGAAACCCTATGGGGCAGTTCTACTCTGTTCCGTAAGGTCGCTATGAGTCAGAATCAACAGCAATGGGGCAATGGGTTTAGGTTTCCGCCCTTTGCTTTTTCTACTGTAGCTCGGGTTGTCTGCAGACTAAAAGGTGAGTGTCATGGATTGAATTGTCCCCCCAAAATATGTGTCAACTCGGTTAGGCCGTGATTCCCAGTATTGTATGGTTGTCCTCTGTTTTGTGATTGATACAATTTTCCTATGTGTTGTAAATCCTAATCTCTGCTTGTGGTTAATGAGGCAAGATTAGATTATGTTAAGGAGGATTAGGGTGGGATGTAGCACCCTGCTCAGGTCACATCCCTGATCCAATGTAAAGACAGTTTCCCCGGGGCGTGGCCTGTACCATTTTTTATCTTACAAGAGATAAAAGGAAAGGGAGGTGAGCAGAGAGTAGGAGACCTCATACCATCAAGAAAGCAGTGCCAGGAACAGAGCGCATCCCTTGGACCAGGGGTTCCTGCAGGGAGAAGCTCCTAGTCCAGGGGAAGACTGATGAGAAGGACCTTCCTCAGAGCCTACAGAGAAAGCCTTCCCCTGTAGCTGACGCCCTGAATTTGGACTTCTAGCCTACTAGACTGTGAGAAAATAAATTTCTCTTTGTTAAAGCCATCCACTTGTAGTATTTGTTATAGCAGCACTAGATAACTAAGACCGTGAGGGTATAGCAGAACTCTCAAGTGTTTGTAGAGGTTTCTTTAAAAGGTAATGTGAGTTTCAAAACTCAAAAACACCTACTGCTTCCTTGTTCTTGGTAACTCATTGGAACTGTTTTCAAAGAATCAGTTCAGGCACCTAGTGTTCTTAAGGTTAATAACCATCACAAAAACAATGTTCTGTCAGTTTTCCAAGTGAGGAATATTAAGTTCAGTTTAGGTCTCGGTCCACCTTCTAACATTTGGCTAAGACCCTGGAGAATTTTAATAAGACTTGAAAATACAGGAGTTTTTTTTTTCTTTTTCCCCTAGTGGTTCTTTATTTATAATGTAGGCTGCAGCAAGTGTTACAATGTAGAAGGGAGACACATTACACAATTGTTATTTATACAAGTTTAGAACAAAAACCAGCACAAGGAGAGGTCAACTCTCGGTACAAACTAGCAACTAAACCACAATAATTTACCTTTAGAAACCATTTATTTTTAGCTGTGACACTGCTTTTACAATATGCAAAAACACAAACAGAACTACCCAAGGTGTTTTGTCACATCCTTTCTACGTGGAATTTGGCAACATTTTATATTAAATTTATTCAGATTATACTAACGTTTAAAAACTAAACAAGTGAAAAGCTGTACCAAAGTACAGTTACATCCATTTATTTCAAAGGTTTAAAATACCACTTTTATCTATTGTCATTACCTTGCAGTGGTTTCTGCTTTTGCAGAAACCATCTCAAGCATCATATGCACAATGCATCAGCTACTTTTAGTCATCAAGATTGGTGGGCTAAACCACAGGCACTACTGTTGCTTATATTCTGTAAGAGGAGCTTGTTTTTCAAAGAAAAAAAAGCTTAAGTAGTTTCTAATAATCATGCCTTTGCTTTAAAGCCGTAACATAAAATGTCCTTGAGCAATCACAGCAGTGTTAAATGTTAATATAAAGAACAATGACTATACAGGTACATGACTCTCCCATCCAGTGCGGTTATGTATTAAAGCGTAAGATTACATAATTGAAGATTAGAGCCAACAGACATCTGCAGGGTCTCTGGGACCCACCAAGCGCCTGCTCTTTGAGTGCTGCGATTACAAATGGGCACTTCCGTGGGACCTGACTATGCTGAGTGGGTTTCTTGCCCTTTTAAACACTGCTGTCTTCTCCAAATGTGATTGATCCCTTTAAGTCTACAAATCTCTGTTGGCTTTAGGAGATGGATATTATAACAAACTTAACTTTCATTTTAAAAAAGAGAAGACATAAATCCATTCCAAAAACCATTTTTACCTAGAATACAAAAAAGGGACAGTTACAGTATCAGATTCCCGGTGACAATAAACAAATCCTCCTCTGGTCAATCTTTAGTATGAAGCCAATTAACTGCCATTTATTTAAAAGAGAAGAAAAACAAGCCCCCAGATTGGTAAACACATTGGCAAGTTGCTAGACTCCAAGCTGGTTACCCTTGTTAAATCCACTCGAGTTTTTTCAAAATATTTGGGCTTTTCAACGTGCCCAGCCTGCTGGGCACGGTTAAGTAAAAGGCATTTGCTATATCTAAGAATTCCCTGCTATCGATTCAAAATGTTTTCACATTTTTTTTAAATTGCCTTACTTTTTTGGATGTATTTGGATTCAATGAAAGTGAGTACAAGAGTCGAAAAACTAAAGGGGGGGATTCTACGTCTACCCAGTGGCGGCAGCATGCACGGGACTGGAGGTGGGTGCTGTGTGCAGTCAAGAGGAATTGTGGGAGAAAGAAGTCCTTAAACACCCTACAGAAACAAACACTGCAATCCAGTATGGCTTATTTGGATGCAATTACCATGAAGCTACTAGAAATTCAACCTACAAGGCTACTCTTAATGTAACAGGATCGGCTATGTTGACAGTGTGTCCCTCCACGGCCCTCCCCCCAATCCCAACTGTCTACCATTTCCAGATTTACTTCATTTCTGAATATTGCTCATCAGTGGTTCCTCCTGCCTCTTTGACCCAGAACAGAGTATATTTAAGTGAGGAATTTTCCCCTTATCCATTTTGTTTGTACATTAAAATAACTTGAATTTGCTTCTAAGCCAGACTACTACGATGCATCTACAAAAGCTTGCAGGAAAAGAAAGGAAAAAAAAAAAAAGATTGAGAGAGAGAAAGGAGTCCAGTAATCCTTTTGCTGAAGTTAACTACTTTTTGGTTCCCCTGCCCCGACCCCCACCCCCTTATGCATTTAAAATTTTACAAAGACTTATAAAAAAGTTAAATGGAATTTGGCACCTTCAGAAAAATCAAAAGGGAAACCAAGATTAAAATGTGCAGAGAGAAAATTATCAATATTTACAAATTAAAAGATCAAGGTTATATCAGTTATATATGTTGCTTTCAATTTTTATCTAAAGGTGTGGAGTACTTTCAAAAAAGCCGTGTTCTGAGTTGCCTACAAAATCTTTTGTTGGATTATAGATTGGAATGGATCAAGACAAATTAGGTATTATTAATTAGACAGTTCGTTTCCCTGGCAGCATTTCTGGTAAGCCTAAGAGAGCCTAGGAGAAGCGAGGGGCCGAGCGGTCATTGGTCATGGTCTTCTTCAGCTTCACGCCCCTTCGGATGGCGTTCAGCATGTCTTCTCCTTGCGGGATCTCTCGAGGGCTCAGGTCTGCAGGCTCACCCTCTGGAATCTGGCCTGGGGAGGCAGTGGCACTTGAGGGCTCCCGTTCCTGGTCTTCGGCCTCGCTTTCTGGAATCGCCTGTCTGTGCTCCTCAGGGATACTCGGCTTTGGGCCTGGAAGCGGGGGGTTGATGGAGGCCTGGCCGCTCCACATGGAGGAGGGCATGCTGGTGACACCCTGGGGGCTCTCCCCCACAGACGGTGACTCGGGGCTGTGCTCACCCCGCTCCTCTGGCCCATCCGGAGGGGCTGGCAGCACCCCACGGAAGTCTGGGACAGTTGGGGTCTTCACAGGGATCACGGGTGTTTTGATGGGGATGGGACCAGCTCCTATGGTCCCCCGGCGGACGGAAGGCTTGGTGGAAGGGGTCCGTCGGATAGTTGCAACCCCCGGGGTGACCACAGCAGGTCCGAGGGTGGTGGGGAGGCCAGCAGTTGAGGCTGGGCGCTTGGCTTGGAACATCCGTCGGTAGGACTGGCTGATGTCGCTGTTCCTCGGGATGGTGGAGGACTTGTCAAACTCCTGCTGCTCAGCCTCCTGGTCACCACTCACAGAGAAATAATCGTAATCTGAAACTGATGATAGGTTTTGATTAGAAATATCCAAAGCTGCAGCTTTACTTTTTGCTTCTTTTGTGTTGGGAGGACAAAGAGCCCAAGCAAACCAAAACCAAACCCGCTGCCGTCGAGTCAGTTTCGACTCAAAGAGCCCAAGAGGCAGGGTATTTCAGCCACATTCTCTTTCCAAGCCCACCTTCAATTTCTGTTCAGTCTTTAGAAAGCCCTCCCCAAGGAAGAGCTCCCTAGCAGGATCTTCGTTCTGCTCACTGACATACCCCCAGCACCTAGAACAGTGCTTCGCATGGTAGGCCCTCAAATTGGCGAGTGGTGCCGATGGTTAAACTGCCCAGCGGCAGCAAAGCTACTTCTGAGATTCTCTGGACGGAGTAAGGAGGATGAAAGAGAAGATAGATTCTACCGATCCTCTAGTCCAGAATTCAACATGAGAAACAAACCGCAATCAGACGCTCACAGGCCTGATAATTAACTGGTTAGGTGAAGGCTAGAAAAAGAAAAGGAACTCCTGGCAAGGATTTGCTAAATGCAAGCTATGGAAATAGGTTCCATCAGCCACCCATGCTCACCTGCTCAGCATAATGCCCACCCCAGTGTTGTACAGAAGAAAGAAGCTCACGGATTAAACACTAAAGTTAGAGCATCGTTTCTCTGGAGAATTCTTTGTTCTGGGGGCTGTCTTGTGCACTGTAGGATGCTTAGTAGCATCCCTGGGTTTCTACCCACTAGACACCAAGAACAACCCTCTCCCCTCCAGCTGTGACAACCAAATTGTCTCCAGATACAGCCAAATCTCCCCTGGGAGAGCACAGTCACAATCACACACACACACACACACAATCACACACACAATCACACACACACACACACACACACACACACACACACACACACACCCCTGTTGAGAACCACTATCTTAGCATTTTTGATGAATTACAAATAGCTTTTGGTCAACTGTAAGATCTAATCCAGCTGTTAGAAGATCTTCATCTTGCCTGCGTTGTTTGTGTATTCGGGATGAGGTTGAGGGAGGCAGGTTTGATAGAAGATTTGGTTGGAATAGGTAAGAGCTTGGACTTTGGACTCTAACAGACCTTAGGTTCCAACTCCAGCTCTGCTACTTATTTGTTGCATGAATTTGGGCAAGTTACTGAGCCTCAGTTTCCACATCTGTAAGATGGGGGTAAAAAAATATTTATCCCTTAAGTGGCTGTGAAGATTAAATAGGTATAAAGTGCTTGGTACAACATGCTAAAAAAATAATGAAGCTATGGTCATTAATAGCATGTATCTCAGCTGAAATCTAGGACCACCATGTATCCCGATGGTGGGAAATGAGAAAAGTTGCTAAAGTCCAGGTCACCTGCTTATATGGCACCACCTGACAACTACAGATCAACTCTTCAAAGCATCCCCAGATGCTGAAAACAATTCTGAAGTCCGTCTGCCAGCCAGGGCTTAAGCTGTGATTAAAACGCACTGTCCACATTACGCTGAGTGAAATAAGTCAGTCACAAAATGACAAATAGTGTATGATCTCACTTATATGAAATAGGCCAATGTATGGAGCCCTGGGAGCACGGTGGTTAGGAGCTATGGCTGCTAACCAAAAGGTCGGCAGTTGGAATCTACCAGCTGCTCCATAGAAACCTTATGGGGCAGTTCTACTGTGTCCTATAGGGTCGCTATGAGTCAGAATCGACTCAACGGCGATGGGTTTGGGATTTTTCCTTTTTTATTTTTACAGAGACCAAAGCTTATTAGTAGTTTCCAGGGCTGGGAGGGAGGGAGAAAGGGGGAGTCACTGCTTAAGGGGCACAGAATTTCTCTTCATGGTGGTGGGATAACTGGGAAAAGGATAGCAGTGATGGTTGCCAATGGTGATGAACGTAGTCCATGTCACTGAACTGTGCATGTAAAAACCGCTGTACTGGCAAATGTTTTTGTTAGATATTTTTACTATTTAAAAAAAATTTTTTTTTAAAATTTTAAAAATAAAATTAATAAATATGAAATGAATGAAAATAAAATTTTAAATAAATAAAATGCCCTGCCAGTTTTGTCTCCCCCTGCAGGGAGGACCCCTCCTTCCCCCCCGTACCTTGGGAGGGGATGGTGTCCTCGGAGCAGCACGGGGTGGTGGTCTGGGTGCTGTAACCGCTGGAGCACTGCAGCGAGTCCCGGCTGCTCCTCTGTGTGTCGAGCTGGAGGCTCCGTGTCAGAGCCAGGGCCAGCTCCTCACAGGGCTGCATCTCCTCACCAGGCTGCAGGTTGGAGGAAAGAGAGAGACACAGACAAGCCACCAGGGCCATGAAATCCCCTGTCTGGTATCCCAGAGCCTTTCCACACACCTCTTCTGGTGGGACCTCCATATCCTGCTCCCATAAACACTACACATCTGTGGGCCCCGGAGGCTATTCACCTGCTTGGGTCCTACCTAGGCTCTATAGAGTTCTGTGTGTCTGACTGCCACACAAGGCTGTTCCCCAAGGGTCCTCTAAATGCTACAGAGCGGGGAGTGGAGGGGATGGAGCCCAGGTCCCTCCAGCTGCAAGGATTACTCAACCACCAGCCAGGCCTAACTGGGTCCGACCAGCTACAGAAAACAAGAGCGTCACCCTGGTGGCGGCCGACACGGTCATGCTCCGCGGCCTCTGGGCCTCCTCGGCAGCTGCTGCGGGTGCTCCGGCTGTGGGAGCAGGTCCTCCTCCACCGGGCTCCGGCTCGCGCTTCTCTTTGCGGCGCTGCAGGGTGTTCACCAGAGGCTGGTCGTAGGGCCCAGGCTTAGCCCAGTCCTAAGTAGAACAGTAGGGTCAGGGAGACCGGGAGGAGCCGGGGCCTCTGCCTCTGTGAAGGGCCGCAGCTCCCACAGAGCACAGCTGGTCCCCTCAGGGGAAAGCCCAGGCTGGGGCAAGCCTGCAGCCCCTTCTCTATGCCCTCACCCAACTCTAAAAGACAGGAATGGAGAACCCTTGGGATTCTCCCGGATACCTCCCTTTTTCTCATATCAGATTAAAACCCTCGGCCACCAGGCAGGAAGCCTGTGGAAGAGTCTCAGTGAACAGCCACCTAACAGCTGACCAACATATGCTAAGGGCACCAGTCAGGGGAGACTACGTTCACAGGGACCAGGCCCCCTCTTCTGTCTGAAGGAGCCAGCTCTCCTTTAGCAGCCAAAACAACTGCACTTTAGTGGAGTGGCCACCAGGGGGCAGTAAAGGAACTTCGGCCACTTCCTAAGGCTGAATCTTCCCACTCCCAGTAAACAGCCCAGAGGGCACTCAAGATCTGTGATGTCTAAAGTCCTCAGAAAGAAAGGGGAGGTGCCCAGGGTGTGCAGGAAGATTGGAGGAGTCAGGGGTCCACGCAACCTGTGAGGGATGAAGTCAAGACCTATCAAAATGCTGGCCACCTACAGGCCTACTTCTCAAATGAAGGTCCTTGTCTCAAAGTAGAATAGCTTCCTGGAGCATCAGTTGAACTTGCTAGGAAATAACTTTAAAACTTTTCTTTCAATATAAAACAGTCAGGAGTAGGAGTAAAATCTGCATGTGCTTTTAAGATAACACATGATCATCCAAAACATATTTTGGGCTATAATTCTGTTACCGTAGCCCAGAAAAAGACTCATTAGGAAAACGTCTGAGGAACAAGGAAGAGGCAGACAGGCCCTCTCAGCCCCCTACAGGCTCTCAGAGAATACTGACGGCCCCAGCAGGGCTAAACCCAGCAGATTTCATCCCAGTCAAGGAGAACTGGACCTTTCAACTTGGAACTGTCGGTCTCTGCAATGTCACATCTCACAGGGGGAAACTGATGTTTCTCAAAGGGAGACTCCCCACTCTCAGCACCAGGTGGAAATTTCTATCTCAGAGCTACCAGCTGCTTTTTGATTTCCCCTCAGTGGGAATTCATTTAGGGAGAGGTGTTATGAGGAAGAAGGCAGAGAGTGAAAAGAAGGGGTGGGGGAAGAGTCGGGGGTGAGGATCATGGGACAGAAGAGAGTGAGGACACAGGCCAGAGGAGAGGAGGAGGAAAGGGAGGCGAGAGGAGGGAGGGGAGACACAAACCTTCCAGCTAGGGATCTGAGATGACGGGAACATGCCGGGCCCAATGGTGTGATAATGAGCGTAGTCTGGAAGGTGGGCAGAGGTGACCCGAGGGAGCAGGCGGGAGGCAGGCAGGCAATGAGGGAAAAGACCTGCACCCACGGGTCCCACATGGGACTCACTTGATAAACTATAGTGATAAAACCCGTTAGACAACTGGAAACAAACAAAAAGGGGGGAAAAAAAGGAAAAAAAATTAATATAACAGGATGAGTACGGAGATACAAGATGGCATTGACAGTCGACGGAGGGGGGAAACCAGGATATTTATAAATAAAAAAAATGTCTGGGCTCTGCTGCTCATGCATGATCGGGGACAAAGGAGAAAAGAACCAGGGTACAAAGAATGCAGTTATTGTACACCAAGCAAGTATTTCCTCAAGGAAATATTTTACCTACATTTTAGAAGAGTCTGGAAATCAGTCAGCATACTTTACCCCTGGCGTTCTCAATGGTTTTCTGATTATTTAACTAACGAGGCGTAATTTCATGGAGATAGTGACTGCTCATTTCATACGCAGATTAAAACATTCTCGAGAGCCTTCAAACAAATCTGTTCATCCTAGGTTTCCCAAACATCACACTGTTCAGGGGCAGAGTCCAAATGGGGGAGGGGGGTGGTAGGAACGGGGATGGCAAACGAAAAGGCAGCGAAGCACGTAGGCTCTGACGCGGTGAAATGTCATGTCCAAGGGGATGGTGGCAAGGAGACCACGCAAGTGGGATGTCTGGGAGGGAAGGAGGCAGAGGGGTGATCCCATGACACCTGTTCTGGGAAGAAGCCGTCACACCTCTGAGCTCCCCAGTCCCCTCCTCGCCCTTGGGAAACTTCATGGTGATTCCTCCTTCAAGGAAAAGCCCTCAGCCGTCTCCCACCCTCTGCTCCCCAAGTGGGACCCCAATCTTGGAGTATCCTTTTAGCTTCCAGGTTCCTGCGGCCTCAGTGGGGAGCAGCAGACAGGAGGCACGGGGAGGGATGGGGAGAGGCAGGCGCCCTGTAGCCCAGTGGTCACCTTCTCAGTGGACGCCCAGGCGCCCATGGTGGAGCCTGAGCTGACTGAGGTGGGAGAGCTGCACTCGCTGACTGACTGGCAGGTTTCAGAGGCTTCAGAGGAGGCCGAGCTGGACGAGTTCTGCAGCAGGGGAGGGACCACACGAGGGGCCAACAGAAACCGAGCCACAAGCCACCAAAACACCATCATGAATAAAAACAAAAGAGTGGGGGCAGTAGCGGGGGGGGGCACACACAGAAAGAGACAGACAGATACACAGGAGGGAAGGATGAGAGAAGCAGAGGGTTAGGGCCTTTAGTTTCGCCCACAGGAGACCCACAGAAAGGCATCAGTCCCTTGAAGAGAAGCAAGAGACCCACCAAGCTCTAGAACCCTTGGCGGTAAGACCCCCAAGGACACAGACTCCTGTGGGTCTTGCTCACTGCTGCATTGCCAGCTCCCAGAAGCGTGCCTGGCACCGAGGGGCTGGTCAAGGCACTGGAAAACCCAGCCGTGCAGTGTCCTCTTGGGGTTTTTTTCGTGTGCCACGAGCCCAGGTCCTAAGGCCCCCATCCTTCACACCTCTTACAAGCACCAGTCTAGGTGCCACTGAGTCAACTCTGACTCACGGCAACCCCACGTGTGTCCGAGTAGAGCTGTATTCCACCGGGTTTCAAATGGCTGATTTTTTGGAAGTAAATCACCAGGTCTTTTTCCCAAGGCACCTCTGGGTGGACTGGAACCACCACCCTTTAGGTCAGCCATGAAGCATGTTACCGTCTGCACCACCCAGGTGGTGCGCAGTTATTATTATTGCCTGAGGACAGACCCTCAGGATGGGCTTTTGCTATATGTATGCTAAAATGGCTCCAATCCCCAGACTCTCCCTTGGCCAGATAAAGCTTCTGCATCACTAAAGTTATGAAGCCTCATTTTCACAAGACACATTTTTAGGTTTTTCTGCCTGAAGAGTGATTTTTAGGCTTGGGGAAGTGAATATGGTCAGCGCAATGGTCCCACTAGCTGTTGTAGGGAAGGGAGAAACATCTGGAGAGATCAGGAACATTACATAAAGAAAGTCTGACTTGGGAAAACATCTCTTCATGCGGATCCTCATTAAACCTCCAGTCCCTGCTCATCTCCTGACATCTGCCCCCACTCGGCTCCCTGACACTCCTGGGTTCCTGGCCAGTGGGAGGCAGGGACTGGGTCTGTGAGTTCACCTTCACACCCTGAGTTTCTAGGCCTGTGCCTGCACATGGCAGCGGCTCAAAAACAATACCACATGGATGAGGGACAACGGCTGCCTCTTCCATGTAAACTGGGGTATTGCCTTTTGCCCGCCCAGGTACTTGCTGAAGTTTTTCACTGTTAATGGCAATCTCTGGTTCATCCCCAATTGGTCTGAATAAGTCCAAGGCTTCTCCACTGACGTGTCTGACTGCATTTCCCAGGAAGTGTTCCCACATCCAGTTTAACTGCCAAAGAGGCCAGACTCATGCTTCTGTCCACCCCTTTCACCCTCAAAAGAAAGGTTCCTGCAAAGGGACAGAGCTTCAGCATCCCCATCCTACATGGGCAAGAACCAAGAAGACACTCAATGCCTGGTGCTCCGTGCAGCCGAAGCAAGGAGAGGCCACACGGCTGACGTCCCAGCTGCACCCTGAGCTCAGTTAGCGTCTGGTTAGCAGTCGAGGACCTGGAGTCTCAAGGTTTGGATTTAAGTCCTATTTCTGCCACTTCCCAGGTGAGAAACTGTGGACCTGATCTCTCTAAACCTCAATGTTTTCAAATTTAGAATGGGAATCAACAGTATCCAATGAGCAGATGAAGATTAAATGAGATAATATATATACCCATATTATGCTTAATCAATTTGTCAATAAAAGTCAGCTGTTACTATCATAATTTACTGAGGTTGTTAATTTTAATTTTGGTTCCTCTAATTCAAGTATGTTTGGCTTGTAAAAAAAAAAAAAACCAATAACCCACCCCAAAAGAACCCTTGTGGTGCAATGGTTAAGTGCTCCACTGCTAACTGAAAGGTGGGTGGTTCGAACCTACCCAGTGGCATCATGGGAGAAAGACCTGGCATTCTGCTTCCATAAAGATTACAGCCTATGTGGGGACCATGGTCTCGGGGAACATCTAGCTCAATTGGCATGACACAGCTTATAAAGACAATGCTCTACATTCTACCTTGGTGAGGAGTGTCTGGGGTCTTAAAAGCCTGTGAGAAGCCATCTAAGATACTCCACTGGTCTCATCCCTTCGGGAGCAAGGGAGAATGAAGAGAACAGGATACAAGGAAAAGATTAGTCCAAAGGACTAATTGTCCACAGCTACCAAGGCCTCCACTGGACTGAGTTCAGTACAGCAAGATGTTGCCCGGCTACCACCACTGACTGCTCTGACCGGGATCACAACAGAGGGTTCTGGACAGAGCTGGAGAAGGATGTAGAGCATAATTCTAACTCACAAAAAAAAGACCAGATTTACTGGCCTAAAGGAGACTGGAGAAACCTCGAAAGTATAGCCCCCAGACACCCTTGTAGCTCAGTGGTGAAGTTACCTCCGAGGTTCACTGTTCAGCCTGGGAGTGGACAGCCCCGTAAAACCAAATGAGACTAACGAGGTACAGGAGTCCAGTGACACGGGCCAGAAGGCAGAAGGGGACAAGGAAGCTGGTGATAGGGAACCCAAGGTTGAGTAAGGATATTGTTGATGTGTTGTGAGATTGTTAACCATTGTCATAGGGCAACATTTATAGTAACTGTTAAATGAGAAACTATTTTGTTCTGTAAGCCTTCATCTTAAGTGAGAATAACACCACAATTGGAAGAGCGTGGTCAGTGTCACTGAACTGTGTATGTAGAAATTTTTGAAACGGTGTATCTTTGGCTATGTGTATTTTCACCAAAAAAAAAAAAGGTTGAGAAGTTAGAGGGTTAATATGTTGTGGGGTTGTTAACCAATGTCATAAAACAACATGTGTACTACTGTTTCATGAGAAACTATTTTTTCTGTAAGCCTTCTCCTGAAGTACAATAAAATATTAAAAAAAAAAAAAAAGATTACAGCCTAGAAAACCCTCTGGGGCAGTTCTACGCTGTCACATGGGGTCACTATGAGTTGGAATCAACTCAATGCACCCAACAGCAACCTACTCCAAGGCTACACGCTCTAGATTTCTTTTGACCCTGCTCATTTTTCCTAAAGAATTTCTTGCCTTGGGTGGAGTCAACAGCTTTAGGGTAAGATGCTTATCGGGGATACGGGCTCCACTCCTGAGCACATGTGGGTTAAGGCACAATTTGAAGAGTGAAGGGGAAGCAAATGGGATGGCCTTCATTTATACGTGTGTAACTGAGGGGAGAAACTGAAGGGGCCCTGTTCCTCGCGGACCCACGTTCCCTTCTTCCCACCCTAAATAATGCTAACGTTACTGCCTTCAGGACCTCATGCCCTCTGGCCTATGACATTTGCACAGTTTCCCGTCTACCTTATAATTATAAGCAGTGGCAATGCCTATTTAAAAAACAGAATTCTCTATTAAATTCTGCAGCAATCCTGAACTTATTAAAACTATGCTAGAGTTGCTAGCCAAGCACATCTTGGGCCCTGGCTTTCAGATTTCAGTGAATCCCCACATGCTGCCCCTGCTTCCCTTTACATGATTGGAGGCAGAAGCACCCTGCTTCCGCCTGACACATACACACACACACACACACACACACACACACAGCCTGTGGGTGACAGCAAGGGTGTCAGTGCACAACACCAGGTTAATTGGTCAGTGGATTAAAAACACACACAGGATTAGGCTGCAAGCTAGAAGAGCCTTTGAGGAAATGCCAACTCCTGTTCTTGTTCTGACCCCTTGCACCCTCTGCCTGCAAGACACACAGGTTTGGTTTAGTGCTACACGTTGGGTGGGGGAAGGAGTGGGGCTTGACACCTTAAAACCAAGCCAGAGCGCCCCAGCTGAGGCTAGCACATTCAAATTAAAGCCGCAGCTCTTGGCTCCAAGTGTTTCCATTTGAAATGAGACAGAGGCAGCAGCGGTGTCCTGGGACAGCTACAAGTGCTGTCCAGGCTCTGGGTTCACCGACTGGACGTCAGACACGGCAGGCAAGTAACTCTCCGGCCCAGGTTCATGAAACAGGTCAACGGCTTCTTCTACGTGACATGCTCCCCAAAGCACTCCCTCGGGGGGCTTTCAGGCTGATGTGGAGCAGAAAGGGCTCTGGACCTGCAGCCGGAAGCACCTGCTCTCAGTGCTCGTCCTGCAGGTCACATAACTGTGCAACTCGGACACGTGACTTACATCTCTGCCCCTCGGCTTCTGCAGCAAAACAGGGCTAATCATACTCTACGTGGCTGTTGGGAAGGTGGCATGGATAATACACGCAGGAGCTCCTGCGATGCGGCCTGTTACCCAGCAGATAATCTGTGAATGTTGGGCAAACTGGATACCTGGGTAAACAAGACAAGCTCGTGGCCTTCTAAGTCCAAAGGATCTTGTGTTCAGTCTCAAAATATACATGTAGGTGATGGGCTCAAAGCCACTGTGCACACCAGCAGATGCCCTACAGGGCCCCCTGAATGTTCACGTTTCCAGGCATTCTATATGTTTGTTAAGTTAGATGCCAACCTGCTGCCACTGAGGGAGAAAGGACAGAGCGGGGAAAATACACTGATTATGCATGTGAAGTCTGTTTCGAAGCCTGCCCATCCTGCCTTCTGCTGCAGCTGGATCCACTGGGCCAGGATGGGCCTAGCATCATCTAACCCAGCCGTGGGCAAAGAGACTTAAAACTTCTTCTCCTCTTCTCTCAGAATCAAACTGCCAGCTTCGATCTGCAGAGGCTCTGATAATTCATTCTAATTCTCAACAAAATGTCATAAAGGGAGCCAGAACGTGTCAAAGAGGGGAGTCAGAAGTGATACTCAACGACAGACTCAGCCGTTCAGGGTGGAGGAGGCCATACCACTGATGGGATGTCCGTTCATTACAGCTCAATGTTCAGCAGGCACTTAGAGGGATGCTAGAGACTTCTCTGAGTCTCTTTCAGTCTGTCTACTTAAGTGTGAGAGCTCCCAAATCAACGTAGTAACTCAACCATCACCATGGAGACAGGCTTCCAACTCAGGTTATGGTAGCTCTCTCTTTTGGGGAACAAGACATCCAGGATGAGAAATTAAACCAGAGCTTTCTCAAATGAGAAGGCAGGGGTCTGTCCGAGCCAAGGACCTTCTCTGGATCCAGCCATCAATGATGGTCTGTGCCAGGTGTGATGGCTGTTCCTGGAGCCAAGAGCACCTTACCTGGTTGGGAGCCTCTGGCGGCATGGGGGACGGTGACTTGGACTGGAAGGCGTCCTGGGATATGAATCCTGAGTCGTGGGAGGACACGCTGGACAGTCTCACGGGCGCCTGCTGGGGCAGGTTGGAGCTGCGATAGCGGTAATGTGAGCTGGGGGAATGCGAGTGGGAGCCGCTGGACCTCGAGTCACTGCTGTTGACACTGTTCAGGCTGCTGTGAGGGGCAAGCAGAGGGGTAGTGGGTGGGGAGGGTGCAGAAAGGGGAGACAGAAGCAGGGGAACAGACAACAAGGGGGCAGAGGAGGGATAAGAACATACTGCAATCAACTCTCTGCCCAGGTGTAGAACAAGCAACATCCACCATAAGGCATGTTTTCAAATCACTCAATCATTAACAGCAGTGACCAAAAGGCTTCTTCATGTGAGCAAGACTCAGTTCTCCGACGGTGCAATAGGGGTATTCTTGGGATTGAGGCTAATTCTATAGTCAATTCTACAGTCTACAGTCAACAGCTGCCCAGTTCTGCTATGTTACCTACTACCCAAGCCAGGGGGCCCTGGTGGTGCAGTGGTTAAGAGATCAGGCTGCTAACCAAAAGGTCAGCAGTTTGAATCTACCAGCCACTCCTTGGAAGCCCCATGGAGCAGTTCTACTCTGTCCTATAGGCTCACTATGAGTCGGAATCGACTTGACAGCAGTGGGTTACCAAAGCCAAGGATCGGATGTCCGTGGCATGCAAAGAGATGTGGCTAATCTTATCTGCTCATCTGCTTGCAGGAACAGTGACCCTGTGACATAACCTACTACAGTTTCAGTATGACCTGGTCAGTGAGTGCAAGTGGCTCCCCCTTAGATGGGCCACCTGGGTCCAGCAGGCCAGGGTCAACCCAGCCAGCCATTGCTTTGGGAGTGCAAATGCCAACAGGCTTCTGAAGGCTATCTTACCCCCAGGTGAGTCTGGTTCAAGATCTCAGCAAGCAACATTAGCCAATCGACTCAGTATGTTTGTGTGGGGAGCCCCCAGGCGGTGTAAACGGTTAACGTGCTTGGCCACTAACTGGAAGGCTGGAGGTTTGAGTCCACCCAAAGGCACCTTGAAAGAAAGGCCTAGTGATCTACTTCTGAAAAATCAGCCACTGAAAACCCTAGGAGGGCAGTTCTACTCTGACACACCTGGGATCGCCATGAGTTGGAATCCACTCAAAGGCAACTGGTGGTGGTGGGGATGTTTGTGTAGATGCGCTTTACCTTTTATTAACAAAGGTAATGATTTAATTAGTGATCTACCACAATCACAGGTGTTTCTCTGGTAACTATCTGCGGGCCTGGCACAACAGCACACCTGGCTGGGGCAGGCAGCTTTCACTGACTGAGGCAGTCAATGGTAATCGGTCTGCTTCCGAGATGGAACAGTAAACAAGGATGTTGGAAAATTACACACACCCTCGGGATGTTCTTTGGCATTCCATTTCCAGCCCTAAGATATAGCCTCTGCACTCTGTATATGAATTCAAGTTATGAAAAACAGAAAACTGAACAAAGTCTCCCGCTCCACCAAACAAGCAGAGCTGGTAATTAAAGGGTAACTATAGAAACATCAGAAGGAATGAAAAAAAAACACAACCCAGCCCAGGATGAGAAAGTTTGTGCTTTCTGCTCCTAACCCTGCACGAAGATTTTGTTTTGCAACTCTAACAGCTAGTAAAGTAGTCAAGGATTTTGAGACTGATCTACACTAGAATTACTCGGTGCTAACATTCCAACAGGGGGCATTGTGGTTCAGTGGCAGAATGCTCACCTATCATGCGGGAGACCTGGGTTCAATTCCTGGCCAATGCACCTTGTGCACAGCCACCACCCCTCTGTCAGTGGAGGCCTGAGCGTTGCTATGATGCTGAACAGGATTCAGTGGCAATTCCAGACTAAGAAACACTAGGAAGAAAGGCCTGGCAATCTAGTTCTGAAAATCAGTCAACGGAAGCCCTATGGATCACCAAGATCCAATCCCCAACTGATCATGGGGATGGTCAGGACTGGGCAGCGTTTTGTCCCATTGTGCATGGGGTCACCATGAGTCAGGGGCTGACTCAACGGCAGTTACGACAATGTTCCAACAGATGTGGCGGAGGGGCCTAGAGGAAATCACTGCTACAGAGAGTAATTATCATGATTTCTGCTTTTACATTTAGGGACAGCCGATGAAGCTCGCTCCAACTCCACTCCAGCAAGCTCACAGCTAACGTTGTCAGTGCAACATGACTTTCTATTCAAACCAGGGCTTTGGACCTTTCATTCCAGTTCAAACTCCTGCTGAGAATTTGAATTTTTAACAAGTTCCCAGGTGATGCTAATGCTGCTGGTTAGGGACCAATTGTGAGACCACTAGTAGAGCGCTGGTTCTCAGAATTTATTATACATAAGAATCACCCAGGGATCTTGTTAAAATGTAGATTCTGATTCAGTATATCTGGGGGTGGAAATGCACATTTTCAGCAGTGGTTCAAACTGGAATGAACCGGTTCGAAGCCCTGACTCAAACTACAACTGCCAGAAAGAAAAGATCCCCAAGCAGCTTTGTTTCGCAGTTAATGAGACAGAAGTTTTTTTAAGATTACAATAGGAAAAGAAAAAAGATTTGTCACACACACGTACAAAGCCCAGGAAAGAAGACAAGATGCAGCCAACATTTCAGGGAGCAGAACATCAGGACATAGCACCTAAGTCTCATACTTCCTCTAAGTGTATACTGTGCAAGCACCAGTCTGAAATGAAGCACACACGTGTGTACAGAGACATCACCCTGCACAAATTCAGCACATCCAGCCTGCCCTTTCCTCTCAGTGCTAATTCATAGGAAGTGGAATTCATTTGGCTTTGAAAAGTCATATTAAAAAGATTAGCAGGCCGAGGGTACCAAAAAACACAATGATGTTTCCCTCCTTCAAGAAGAGGAGAATGAACTTTTCAGCCAGCAAGCCAAGAATAGCCTTCTAACAGAAAACTGCTAAAAAAAAAACAGATTTGTAGCGGGCAGAACTATTCCAATGGATTCTGACTGTTTCAATAGGCAGCAGTATAGTTAATGATTGAAACCTGGGCTGTATTTCACCAGGTTTTAAAACCTGGCAGAATTAAGAGCAAACCAACTCTTTTTACAGTTTTTCACAATTACTTCTACCTCTGTTTCCCATGCTCGACAAAGAGTTATTTGTAAGGTCCCCCCTTCATTAACATAGTAGGTACTCGATAAATGTCTAGTTATGGAATACCTGCATGCATGTGTGGTCTAATAAAAGCAACTGCATAGAATAGAAAATACAAGCTCACAGACTTATCTTCTAAGTTGGCTCTCCAAGGAGGCAAAAGAATTTTATACAGAGTGTTGGTGGTAGTAGTGGTGAACAGAACAAAAACTCCATTTACTTTGTGAAATCCTGAGACAAAAAAATCCTGAGGGAACATTCCAACTCCCTCAGGGACCGAGTTACTGGGCTGAGGGCTGGGGACCATGGTCTTGAGGGACATCTAGCTCAACTGGCATAACACAGTTTATAAAGAAAACGTTCTACAATTGACGGTGGTGAGTAGCACCTCGGGTCTTAAAAGCCTGCGAGTGGCCATCTAAAATACATCTTCTGGTCCCATACTGGCTGGAGCGAAGGAGAATGAAGAAAACCAAAGACGCAAGGGAAACATTCGTTCAAAGGACTAATGGACCGCAACTACTACAACCTTCACCAGACTGAGCCCAGAGTAACTAGACGGTGCCTGGCTACCACTACCGACTGTTCTAACAGGGATCACAATAGAGCGTCCTGGACAGAGCGGGAGAAAACTGTAGAATGAAATTCAAACTCACAAAAAAGGACCAGACTTGCTGGTCCACTAGAGACTGGAGAAACCTCAAGAGTATGGCCCCCAGATATCCTTTTAACTCAGTACTGAAGTCACTCCCAAGGTTCACCCTTCAGCAAAGATTAGACAGGGCTACAGGGCAAACGCTAACACGTGAGGAATGGCTTTGCAGTTCAGTCACGTATATGAGACTAAATGGGCACACCAGCCCAAAAACAAAGACGAGAAGGCAGGAAGAGACAGGAAAACTGGACGAATGGTAACAGGGAACCCAGAGTGGAGAAGGGAAGAATACTGACACATCATGGGGTTGGCAACCAATGTCACAAAATAATTTGTGTATTAATTGTTTAATGAGAAACTAATCTGCTCTGTAAACTTTCACCTAAAGCACAATAAAAACAGAACAAAACACAAACTTGGGGGGGAAATGAGAGCACAGGCCATTGTTACTTTCTTCACTTGCTCTGGCAACAATATCTGCCTGTATAAAATCAACCTATGTTCACTTTTTCTTAGTCCTTATAATTTTTACTCTGCTAACCAGGAAAGATGAACAAATCTGTCTTGGCAGAAGTACAGCCAAAAGCAAGGAGGACAAGACTTCATCTTACATACTTTGGACATGTTATCAGGAGGGATCAGTTCCTGAAGAAGTCCATCATGCCTGGTAAAGTACAGGGTCAGCAAAAAAAAGGAAGACTCTCAACGAGATGGATTGACACAGTGGCTGCAACAATGGGCTCAAGCATAACAACGACTGTGAGGATGGTGCAGGACAGGGCAGTGTTTCGTTCTGTTGTACATGGGGTCGCTATGAGTTGGAACTGACTCAATGGCACCTAACAACAACAATCGGGAAAACCAAATGCAAGTTCATAAAATAGGAAAATCCCTACAACAAGCAACGGAAAGAGAGCAAGCTACATCCACTAGTCTAATGGCTAATGTGGTTTTCTTACTGATCTGAAACGAATACAGAGACTAACAAGACTGAAATTATGATGGCATCTTCCAGCTGATCATATCACCATTTCCTGTTTAAAGGTAACCATCCAAGGAGATGAAGGACTGGCTCTGTTGCTCACATCAGCATAAAGAAACACAACCTGACCTGAGAGCAAGAGCAAACCACCGCTCCACTTACCTGCAGACACTTGACTTTCGGGACATGGCGGTACTGGGGGAAGATGGTGGCGTCTGATACGACCAACTGTAATCTGAGCCTTTCAGGTCCAGAATCACCTAAAGAGACAGAGAGTCGACTGGGTGAGCCAAGCGCTGGGAAGGGAAACATATTTTTTGCCTGCTAAAGACAAACAGTATCTGTCAAATCTTAACACCTATCATAACATCAAAATTCTGCCATCATGTGGGGGTGAGAATTACAGAAAAAAAAATGTGTATTTTTTCTTTTTATTAAACCACCACACTATCAATCCATCAATGTCATAATCCTTTTTCTGAGACAAGCAAAAATATAATTAATGGGGGGAGGGAAAAGGAAAACCGTGAAATTATCAGTCAAAAGAAAAAAAAAAGAGAGCGAGAGAGAGAGAGCTTTACAGTGACAGATGAACAATTTAGCCAGAAAACGACTTTGTACCCAAGGCTAGAATGCACAGGAAATCATCTTACAGCACCACAAAGGCAATCATGGTTTCGGGATTTGTCGATCTTGCATTTTAACTACTCAGTATTAAATGGGCACTTGTGCTGAATTTCACCAAGACTAGAAATTTTAAAACCTGGAAGAATCAAGAACAAACCAATTCTTTCACAATTTTTCTTTCACAATTTTTCTTTCACAATTTTTCACCAGTACTTTATCTATCTCTCTTGACAAAGAGCTCCTTGAGTGTTAAGATCCACCTTTCATTCACATAGTAGGTGCTCAATAAACGTGTAGTTATTAAATGCACGCATGCATGGACTAATAAAAGCAATTGCATAGAATGGAAAATAGAAGCTTCCAGAGTTGCAATCTGAGTTGGCTCTCTAAGGAGGCAATAAGAATTATACACAAAGGGCAGAAGCCAGCATGTGATTCATCAGACGTTCCCTCAAATGTGTCCCTTCCCACTTGCTATGGTGTTAATGTTACATGAGCCAAAGGAATAAAGCACAAAAATGTCATTTTTCATAAGATGAGAGAGATCCCCACACATCACTACACTGGAATGGGGGAAATGTAGTGAGAATGGTTGACTGCCAAGTTCCTATGGGAGCTTATTTCTAGAAGGCAGATTAACATACCAGTTGAGAGCATGGACTCTGGAATTCAACTGCCTGGTTCAAATCCCAGTGCTACAGCTTGCTAGCTAGGTGAACCTGGTACTTACCCTCTCAGTACCTCGGCATCCTCCTCTACAAAATGAGATAATAATGAAGGTTAACTGAGGCATCTATATGAAGAGCTCAGAACAATGCCTGGCACACAGTAGGGGCGGTATAATGGTTAGCTATTATGATTACCATACGTTCAAACCTGAAGGACATGGTGAAGTATGGATATGGATTAAAACGTGACAACGCTGGGAGGAGCACTCAGGATCTGGAGCGTTCACCTCCTTGGTTTGCCCCTCTGAGTGCTCAACCCACACGACTCCTACCTGTTCACTTGAGGAGGGCAGTTTGTGAGGGTCCATGGTCAGGCTCTTTAGATCTTCTGATATGGTCTGAAGGTGAGTTATTTCCCCGAGCATTGAGATTTCTTCTTCCTGAGGGAAAGTGAGTCACAGCAAGTTACCGTGTAGTGACTGACTTCATGGTCTTGGTCCAATTTTTTACTAGCACTCAGGTCATGGTATAATCCTTCCGATTTTTCAGAAAAGGCACACTTTGCTGAGGGCACTACAGGCCCTTTTCTTTGGGGAAATGGAAAGGAAAAGAAGTCTCCCATAAGCACAGAGTGACCTGGGTGCCTGGGACAGTGGTCAAAAGCCAAAGCAAGCACATGTGCCTTTCCTGCAGCATCTAGGGGGCCATCGGACCTGCTCTGATAACCTGACATGTATTCTTGTGGACTCCTACAGCCCAGCCCCCTTCCACATGCTGAGGAGGCCCTCCTATGAAGTCGATGGCTTCAATGGATGACACGATTGGGAGCTCTTTTGGTCCAGATCTGATAGCAGATCTTTGTGGCAGCACACGTGTTCAGTAGAGGTTAACTGTCTCCCTTCTTTCATGTTTTCTCTACCAACTTAATCAATGGCCAGTGAGAAGGGAGCAGGGCCCTGTGGGTGAAACATTCAATCACTGTACCAAAGCACCAAGCTGGGACTGTAGGCCTGGCTAGGACGATCCATAGTTAAGCTCTATGCCGAGGACAACTCACATTTGGACATTTCAGTTGGCCTCAGGGACGTGAGTTTGTGGGCTTTCTTACCAACTTCAAGAAAGCCAACTGCAGCCATTCTCGGTTCTGGCATGTAAACACAATTGACTTAAAAAATAAATTTGAGTTGATGAGGCTCTTCCTATATTAATCACGTGGTCACTCATTAGTATTCTGCTTGGCCAGTGGGTCTCAAAATCACCCGGCAGGCTTGTTGAAACACAGATGGCCAGTCCCCACCCCCAGAGTCTGGGATTCAGGTCTCATGTCTACCAGTTCCCAGGTGAGGCTGATGCTGCTGGCCTGGGACCACACTTAGAGAAACACCCTGCTATGCTTTCTTGACTTGGGGAGAAAAGGTAAGTGGAAAAACCAATGTGAAGAACCATGAGCAAGGCGTGGGCCATGTGGCCATCACTACATGGTGGAGAATCACTGATCCTAGAAGGGATTCTATATCCTGATTCCCAACAGACCGCAGATGGATGGATAAACAAAGAAGGAAAGTCTCTGGAGCTTTCCACAAACTTACAATCACTGGCCGCAGCATAGAGATGAAGGTGCAGAATCGCCCACGTTCTTCAATCAAAGCTTTGCGCACTGCCTGCTTCTCTGTTTCCTCCAATAGGAGATATTTATCATTGACATCTTGGAGAGCACTGTCCAACTGAGGCTGGATATCGCCTCTCCCTGCAAACAAAACAAAGCCTAGGTGGGGCTCACTGAAACACCAGTTTCTGAGACAAATGCACCTCCCTGGGGTTGTTGCTGGAGTCAGAACCACCATTTTCCAGGATTTAAAAAAAAATAATTTACTTATACCCAGAAAGGATTTAAGGTGGCTGTTTTCCTAGGACAAGCCATTTCCAGTTTCCAGCGCCAGAGGGGCTCACAAAAAAAGACAGACTTACTGGACTGATAGAGGCTGGAGAAACCCTGAGAGTATGGCTCCCGGACACCCTTTTAGATCAGTAATGAAGTCACTCCTGAAGTTCACCCTTCAGCCAAAGATTAGACAGGCCCATAAAACAAAACGAGACTAAAGAGGCACATCAGCCCAGGGGCAAGGACTAGAAGGCAGGAGGGGACAGGAAATCTGGTAATAGGGAACCCAAGGTCGAGAAGGGAGAGTGTTGACATGTCGTGGGGTTGTTAACCAACATCATAAAACAATATATATATACTAACTGTTTAATGAGAAAGTAGTTTGTTCTGTAAACCTTCATTAAAAAAAAGAATGATGTAGAGGACATTAAATGCAATGCTCTGTTTGGTCTGAAGAAGAAAAGGGTCAGAGAAAATGGCCTTGACTGGAGGAATACATTCCATATTTTCTCTCCTAAGCAGATGAGAAAACTTAACTTGGAGCAAGAGGTCATCAAGATTAAAGAACATCCTAAAAGAAGAGGGAGTTGGATTGTAGCAAGGAAAAGTCACTTCTTAGGCAGAGATTAAGCACTAAGTCAGCATGTAAAGGGAAACCGTGCCTAGTCAAAGGTGGCCTTAAATGCTTTAGATGACCAGTGAAGGTCAGTACACGCGATTTTGTATTTCTCAGTAGTCACATGAGTACATATAACATGCACAATGATACACAGTTTCAGGGTGTCTCACCTGCTGCTTCCTCCGTCATCTACCCCTTAAGGTTAGTTCTACCTGTTCCTCTAGTTTCTCCATCAGGGATGGAGGGGGAGTCACCCCCATACACTGAGCTGAACACCTGACCTAGGTGTCCTGTGTTCTTTAGTGGGCACAGAGCTTGTAAAATCACTCCCCCATTCTCCCAGGGGATTTTCCAGGGCAACTGCTCACTCTTGAGGGCACCCAATGCCTGTGCCTCGGGCTCATGGAGGGAACCCTGGGGCCGTCCCCAGTGCTAGTCAAATTGTGGGTTTTCTCTTCTATTTTAAGATGACTAGGAAAAAAGGCTTGGCAATCTATGTTAAACAACATTTTAAAATGCTGGTTTGTGCAGATGACCCCACATACTCTGAAAGTGTACGTGATGCAAGCCCACAGGTAGTGAAGGAACGCTGTAAACACCCCCTTTTCAATGCAACCTACAAAACAGGCTTGTTAGGCAAGACCACGTGGCTGAGGGCTGGTCTAGAGGCCTTTTAGTCTCTCTCTCCCATGATGTTCTAACTAACAAAATGTGGAGGGCTGCAGACTAAGAATGTTCTTAACTTTGGCAGAGGGAGGCAGAAGAGAGCAGAGGAGAACCAGTGGAGGGAGGCAGTAGATTAAAATAATACTTGACAAAACCTGCTTGGCTGTGCTTTGATTACAATAGTAGTAATTTTTTAAAAACAGCCTATCACTATAACGGTGATCCTGGGTGGTACAAACGGCTAATGCACTCGGCTGTTAATGAAAGGTTGGAGGTTTGAGTCTACTTGGAGGTGCCTCAGAAGAAAGGCCTGGTGACTGCTGAAAAATCAGCCATTGAAAACTCTGTGGAGTACAGTTCTACTCTGACACACACAGGGCCGTCATCAGTCAGAGTCAACTTGACGGTAACTGGTTTGGTTTTTGGTTTTATAATTATAAGACACTGAAAAAATCTTTATCATTACTTCTTTTCATGAGTTTTAGGCACTGCGTAATTAATAACTCTGCCTTTTTAAAATATATATCTACACAAGAAAGCAAAGTGAATAGAAACAAGTGTTATCTAATTTGGTTAATGTACACTTAAATTATTCCACAACTGTAGCAAAGTTATTTTAAGTATGTATTATGTTATAACGAAAGGACTTTCAAATTGTAGTATTCTAAAATAAGTATAATCTGTAGACATTGCTATAATTATAGTCATAACGAGAACATTTCTATTCAGGATATATCATAACCTATAAACACAATGTTTATTTTTCTAAATTCACTAACACAATATATAATCATATTTACGACTGTGGTAGAAATTATTCCACGTCCCAGTTGGATACACTGGTTTTAAGCTATAGCGAGGTTTTTACATAGGGGCAGTGGTAGTTCAGTGGTAGAATTCTTGCCTTCTAAGCGGGAAACCCAAGTTCGATTCCTGGCCAATGCACCTCATGTGCAGCTCTCCCAGAGCAGCCTGGATTACACTGGAAATGCAAATACGATCTGTGGGTCCTTTTCAATAGCCCCCACTGCTCTCCAGAAAAGTCCAGCATCCTTTCATACAGCCTGTCCTGCAAGGCAAGCATGGTCAGCTGGTCTACCTCGCCACCTCAGCCTTCTTGAGCCACTCTCTTCTCCTCCCTCCATCCCTCGCTCTCCTTCCCAGGCCTCTTTCATTCCTCCAGGGTCCATCTTACCTTCATGTACACTCCACCCTCCCCGCCTACCTCAGGCCTGTTCACCCTGGTCTTGCTTAATCCCTGTTCCTTCTGAGAAGCCCTCCTTGAACTTTCTGGCCATGTTTAAAAAAAAGAAAAAAACACTTGCTGTCAAGTCACCTTCGACTCATGGCGACCTCACGTGTGTCAAAGTAGAGCTGTGCTCCACAGGGTTTTCAATGGCTGATTTTTTAGAAGTAGATGGCCAGGCCTTTCTTCTGAGGCACTGCTGGGTGGACTTGAATCCCCGACCTTTTGTTAGCAGCCAAGTGTGTTAACCATTTGCACCACCCAGGGACTCCCTGGTCAGATTATAATCTTCTTACTTGAGCTCAGAATTTCCTTCTACATATCCTTCATAGCACTCACTCCAGTTCTAATTTCATTTTTATTTTCCTAGTTATTTGACTGATGTCTCCCCTGGTAAGCCCCACCAGGGCAGAAACTATGAACATTTCTGCTCAGCACCGTATCTTCTCACTCGGCACAACTTGCCTGGAAGGCAGCAGATACTCAAATACTTGTGGAATGAAGGAGGTATTGATAAAATAACACGACCTGAGTGTGTTCACTGGTCTCAACCAGCATGCCCTTAAATGGCCTAGAAGTGCAGACCTAGCGAATTCCAGGACTGCCAAGCAGCCAAAAGAAGGGAGGGGGGTGCCTTAAATAGGCTTTCCAGACAAAATTCCTGAGCAAAGAGACTTTATGGCCTCTTCTGTAAAATCTCTGTCACCCTCAGTCTGAAGAATTGTTTTTCCACGGCCAGTTTCCAGGTCCTGCTTCTATTCATACTGAGGAGTTCTGAAGAAAACAGCCAGCAGCCCTTGACGCCCCCCAAGGAAAGTCACATGACTGTCTTTACAGAAACACTCGCGGAAAAAAGCACGATTAGTGGGCACCATGTCACCCCTAAAGGAGGGAGGATTTTTTTTTTTTAATTAAGTAAGGAGAGTTTACAAAGCATTTTGAAATGAAATCAAGATTCCATATCAACTTCCCAACAGTTATCCTTTATTTTCTTTAAGCTCCACATAAATATTTCAAAGCAAGAATTAACACTTCCTCGCACAGTGGTTAAGAGCTCGGCTGCTAACCAAAAGGTTGGCAGTTTGAATCCACCAGCCACTCCTTGGAAACACTATGGGGCAGTTCTACTCTGTTCTATCGGGTTGCTATGAGTTGGAATTGATTCGACAGAAACGGATTTGGTTTTGGTTTTGGTTTTGACAGATGAAGGGCAGTGGTGATTCAGTGGTACAATTCTTGCCTTCCATGCAAGAGACCCGACTTCGATTCCAGCCAGTGCACCTCATGAGCAGCCAACACCTGTCTGTCAGTGGAGGCTTGCATGTTGCTATGATGCTAAACAGATGTCAGTAGAGCTTCTAGACTAAGATGGACTAGGAAGAAAGGTCTGAGGATCTACTTCCAAAAATCAGCCAATGAAAACCGTATGGATCACAACGCTCTGATCTGCAACTGATCACGGGGATGGTGCAGGATTGGGTAAGCATTTCATTCCATTGTGCTTGAGGTCACTACTAGCCTGGGACTCCACGACAGCTGACAACACTTGACAGATGGTGAAACTGAGATTCAGGGCCAATAAGCTAGTCATGGGCACAACTGGAATCCAGCTCTGGGTCCTTCTCATTCAGAAGCCCACGTTCTTGGGACTCTGAGCTCACAGTAAACACAAATCCTGGCAAGCAAGTGCTAGGAGCTACAAGTTCAAAGCTGTAACAGCCCAATTTAAAACCCAATCAAATGTGATGAGCACTATCTGGAGTCCCCTCCACCTCCACCCCACCTCCCCACCCCCTCCACCCCAGCAACATCTTCACGCACATGCTGTTGCCCACAGAGAGGCCTCCTGGCAGAACCCAGCCAGACGCCATTTTCACACAAATGGCAGCAGGCGAACAGCAAACCCAGGACACACGGGCCAGGACCGCTTTCAGGAGTCAGCAAACGTCCCAAATCATTTCCTTCTCCTGAGAAAGACCTATGGGGAAACCATCAGAATCCTGCAGAATGACCTCCGTCTGCCTCTGACACTCACACAAATGCTGTTATTTTATTCTAAGATGTCCACTTTCAGCACGTTTACACTCACAATCAGGATGTGTTTTACAATCCATGGTCTGCCGTAGTTTAATAGGCAGTTACCTTTTCCTCTTCTTTAGTGGTCCATAAAATAATGCGGTATCTTAGACAGTCCTAAAATTCCGTGGAATATGGGATATAAATGTTGAAATGGACCTCGAAGGTGATGCTGGAGATTAGAATTTGGAATGGAAAAATTCCCTTTTGCCACAAAGGAAACCCTGGTGGTGTAGTGGTTAAGAGCTACGGCTGCTAACCAAAAGGTTGGCAGTTCGCATCCACCAGGTGCTCCTTGGAAACTCTGTGGGGGCAGTTCTACTCTGTCCTTTAGGGTCGCTATGAGTCGGAACAGACTCGACAGCAACAGGTTTTGCCACAAAAGATGAGGCTATCTTTATTACCCTATATAAGTCTCCTTCTACTGCTTAATATTTATAGCTTATAAGTATACGTAAATCTAAGTATATATCAGAAGATGTAATTTGTGAGAAGATTAAGTCAAGTCTTTAACATAGTACACAGGGCCATGGGTCCCTCCTCACAACTGCAAGCTCACCTCTTCCTAGTCCTGCACTAAGAGAAGACAAAAGAGCCATTTGCAGGTAGGTTGCTGTTGTTGGGTGCCACGGAGTCAATTTCGACTCACAGTGACTCCATGTGACAGAAAACTGCCCCATAGGGTTTTCTAGTCTGTAATCTTTACAGGAGCAGATCACCAGGTCTTTCTCCCGTGCAGTCACTGGGTAGGTTCAAACCAACAACCTTTCGGTTAGCAGCCGAGCATTTCACCACTGTGCCACCAGAGCTCTTTATTCACACCTGGGTAAAGTCTTGAAATCAGCACGCCTGTGCGTCTTCCCGCAGAATGGAAAAAACATGTTCTTCCCTAAGAACCCTGCTTCCAGTCTGGTCTGGCATCCTTCCCACAGCACCCAACACTTCTGGATTAAAGATATCATCAAACTGCAGTAGTAGCTGCTGAATCGCTTGCAGCCATCCTCATCTGCAAACTCTACGAGGGTGTGACTGTATATCATCCGTCTCTGCCACCCCCAGCACCCAATGCATGATAGAACACATAGCAGGCACCCATCAGTATTCATTAAATGAATGAAACGAAACGAACCCAACTCAGCTTCCAGCCACTCTGATCTGTCTTCTGTGTCCCTTTCCATATACTCTTCCTCCTTCTGGAACGTATATTTACCCCTTACCCATTCCACCCTTCTCTACAAACAACTCTTAGCTCAGCCTTTAAGAGTCTGCTTAAGCATCGCCTTCTCTTGGAAACTTCCAACTCCTCCAGGAAAAACCCAGTCTTTTCCTTCTCTGTCCACCCATGGACTTTTCTTCACAATCTATTGGACAATTTATGTTGCCAGGTCATAGTTGTCTGTAAGATGTCTGAATCTTCACCATCCCATGCACAAGTTGAGGGTGGAGAGTATTTATGTATCCTTAACAGCTAACAGAGTCTAGCACAGAGGAGGCATTTACACCTATTTCCTGAATGGATGGATGGATGGATGAAGGCTTGCTTGCTTCGCAGGGCTCATCTGCAGCCATCAAAGGAGAATGTTGATAAATGAAAGAGATGGCACCAGTTATGAATCAATTAGCCCTATGAAATGCATGAATGGTTTATAGGTTGTAACTCTAGAGAGGCGGCGACTACTACCTCACTCTGCCATTCCGTCATGCTCTGCACCATCCGTTTAGTGTTCTCCAGTGAGACAAAAATCATATTGTGCATGCAATCAACTATTTCCAACACATCGTCCTTTTAATCTTCTGCTCTTTTGTACGTGGTTGAGGTTAACGTTGAGAAAAGTGCTAGGCTCCTATTCTGCTCCTACACTGTGAATAACTCTTCCCTGGCTTCCGAATGCAGCCACAGGGAAGCCAGGTGTGCTGCACCTTGACAACGGTCCCCTTGCACACAGGGACATTCTGGACCACTGGTTTCCGCTCCTGCAGTCAGCCATTCGAGTCACAGCCTGCTCACTCAGTTGGCTGTGTCGGGACGAGGTTTTACCGAAGGCCAGCACTGCAAGGAAGTGCACTCGTAGCTCCGGGACTCAGTGGGTCTGTTTGGCTTGTTTTTACCAAGAATCTTCCATTGTGAATGGCAGCTAATGAATACCCCAGCCTCTGAGGACTACAGCTTTCATCTGAAATGTAATGGCTCTTTGCAGGAGCTTAGGGGGTTCAAGCCAAATGTCTCTACTGATTTATGTCAGGGACAGCTTCCTGAATGCCATGCTAGGTTTAGAAGGTAAAATGCTACCACCCCTGCTTCCACTGAGATGGAGCGAGTCCCATTCATTCTCCATTTCCCTATCACCCCGCTAACACTGGGCAGAGCTCAGGGCTCGTTGACAGCATCCCACCATCTGTACCTTTTTCTTCCTCCTCATTTTACTGCTCTAACCTGTGTTTCCCAGGGCCAGAGGGAGTAGAGGTCAGGCTGTGGTTCTCTAATGCCAACTAACTTTTGTATTTTTTGTGAAAATATACACAGTAAAGGATACACCGTTTTAACAAACCCTATAGGTACAATTCAGTGATGCTGTTTATATTCTTCAGGTTGTATAACCATTCTCACTATCCTTTTCCAAAG